GGCAACTCACTTAAAGAGGTTGAGATGAGAAAGGTCAAAGCTGCCAGTGTTCTGGAAAGACCAAAACTTCTTTTTTTAGGACAGATCTGCGTCTCTATGTCTACTTGTCCTTTCAGTCCTTCTCTGAGCTGCAGAGACTCTGGGCCTCATGTACAAAGACTTGCATTGATTTCCTACTGAAACATGGCATACACTTAAATCGAGAAAACACTGTACGCACGAATAAATCCAGATATATGAAACCGTGTGTACGCATGAATTGAAGCACACTTCCTTTGTACCATCCAATCAACGTGGAATTGAGCGCACGAGTGAATACCTGACTCCTCCCTCGACAAGCCTCCATTTAAATATACAAATGGATTTAAATCTGCCCTGCACCTCAAGACTCTCCTCTCTGTACTATCAAAAATCATGTCTACAAGCAGGAAAAACAGAAACTTAATGAAATGTGAGTTAGAGAAACTTCTAAATGAGGTAGAGGCACGTAAAAACATACTGTTTGGTATAATGTTCTCTGGCATTAGTGCCAAGTGCAAGAGGTGGGAGTGGGACAGTGTGTGAAGCTATAAATGCTGTGGGGTCAGAGCAGTGCACACCTGCAGAAATTAAGACAAAATGGTCAGACCCCCTTTTTGGAGTCCCTGGATGGTGTCCTGGAAAGGGTGCCATCTGGGGATTCCCTCATTCTACTTGGTGACTTCAATGCCCATGTGGACTATAATGGGCCATTTGGGGGCAGCTGTGGCTGAGTGGTTAGAGCAGTTGCCCTCCATTGGGAGAGTTGGGATTTTGATTCCATCAGTAGTCACATGTTAAAGTGTTCATTGATAAGACATTAAACCCCTCATTGCCTCCGATGCGTTTGTGTTTCCCATTGGTGGATGAATATGATCTAAATCACTGATCAGTCTCTATAGAAGGATTTGTTTGATTAGCTTTGTAGAGATCTAGTACAGTGCTGTATGAATGTCTGTGTGGATGGGTAAATGAGGGCACATTGTATTGTAAAGCACTTTGAGGATCTTGATTAGATAGAAAGGTGCTATATAAGAACAGTCCATTTACCATTCCATTTATAAAGGCGTTAGCTGGAAGGGGATGATTGGGAGGAACGGCCTCCCTGATCAGAACCCAAATGAAGGTTGTTTACTTGACTTCTGTGCTAGGCACGAGCTGTTCATAATGATCAACATGTTTGAGCGTAGGCGGTTCATAAAAGTACATGGTACCAGGTCACCTTAGGCCAAAGGTGGGTGATAAATTTTGTAATTGTATCGTCAGAACTGTGGACTTATGTCTTGGACACTCGGATAAAGAGAGGGGCAGAGCTGACAACTGATCACCACATGGTGGTGAGTTGGATTTGATGGCAGGGGGATGCTGCCGGATAGACCGGTAAACCCAAGTATCTAGTGAGGGTGAACTGGGGACATCTGGTGGAGATTGCACCTCCAGGGGAATTTTTCATGTATCCAGGGGGAGGTCGGGGACATGGAATCCTAATGGGCCATGCTCAGGGCTCTATTGCAGATGTGGCTTCCAGGAGCTGTAGCCTGAAAGTCACTGGTACCTGGTGTTGTAGAACCCAAAGGACCCACTGGTGTCCCACCAGCACATCTTCCATGGAGGAAGCTGAGTCAGGGGACTTGGCTGACTGTAGCTGAACTCGCTGAGGTAGTTAAAAATCTCTGTGGCGGCAGTGCTCTGGGGATGGATGTGACCAACCCTGATTTCCTTAAGGCTCTGAATGTTGTGGGGCTGTCTTGGTTGACATGTCTTTGCAACATTACATGGAAATCAGGGCCAATGACACTGGCTTGGCAAACTGGGGTGGTGGTTTCCCTCTACAAAAAGGGGGACCGGAGTTTGTGTTCCAATTGTAGGGGCTTCACTCTCCTTAGCCTCTCTGGTAAGGTTTTATTCATGGGTACTAGAGAAGTGAGTCCAGTCGTTGGTTGAACCTTAGATCCAGGAGGAACAATGCAGTTTCCATCCTGGCCATGGGACATTGGACCAGCTCTTGACCCTCAATAGAGTTCTCAGTGGGGTCATGAGAGTTTGCCCATCTGGTCTACATGTGTTTTGCTCACTTGGAGAAGGTGTTGAACTGTGTTACTTGGGGTCAACTGTGGTGGGTGCTCCGCAAGTATGGGATTGGGGGCCAATTGCTACGGGCTGTTCGGTCCCTGTACAAGTGGTGTGAGAATTTGGGTTGCATTGCCAGCAATAAGTCAGTAAGCCTGTTGTCACAGATTTTGTTCATAACTTTTATGGACAGAATTTCTCAGTACAGCCATGGGTCGGGGGGAGTCTGATTTGGTGGACTCAGGATTGTTTCTCTGCTATTTGCAGATGATGTGATCCTGTTGGAGTCATCATGCCATGATCTTCAGCTCTCTGGAGTAGATTGCAGCCAAGTGTGAAGTGTCTGGGATGAGAATCCGCACCTCCAAATCTGAGGCCATGGTCCTCAGTCAGAAAAGGGTTGATTGCTCTCTTCAGGTCAAGGGTGAGATTCTGCCTCAAGTGGAGGAGTTTAAGTATCTTAAGAGTTTGTTCTTGAGTGAGGGAAGAATGGAGCATAATATTGACAAAAGTATTTGTGTAGCATCTGCTTTTTTGTGGACTCTGTTTTGGTCCATTGTGGTAAAGAGGGACCTGAGCTGTAAGGCAAAGCGCTCTCTTTACTGGTCGGTCTAGGTTCCTACGTTTACCTATGGCCACAAACCCTAGGTAGTGACCAAAAGAATGAAATTGCGGTTATAGGCGGTTGAAATGAGTTCCCTCCGCAGGGTAGTTGGACTCTCCCTTAGAGATGGGGTGAGAAGTTTGGTTATCCTGGAACAACTCGGAGTTGAACTGCTGCTCCTCCACATTGAGAGGAGCTAATTGAGATGGTTCGAGCATCGGGTAAGGATGCTACCTGGGTGCCTTCCTAGCGAGGTGCTTTGGGCATGTCTGACTGGGAGGAGAACCCGGGGAAGACCCAGGACACGCTGGAGAGACCGTCTCTCGGTTGGCCTTGGCATCCTCCCAGACGAGCTGGAAAAGGGGTTGTGGAATGAGATGGCTGGACCTCCATACTCCCTCCCTGCTCAAGCAGCTGCCCCTGCAACCCAACTTTGAAATAAGCGGAAGAGGATGGATGGATGGATGGATGGATGGATGGATGGATGCTGAACCTGTACCCAACTTTACTTCTGTCTCTGACAGACCTGCTGATAATTCTCGTCATTAGTTCCTAAATAATAATAATAATGTGTTGTTGTAATTGTATGTTCCCATACAATGGCAAAATTGGCTCTCTACATTTAACCCATCCACCACCAGGTGGAGCAATGGGCAGCTGTGGAAAGTGCCTGGGGAGCAACTGGGGATAATGCATCCTGCTCAGAGACACCATGAGATGTGCAATGACCCGGGATCGATCCTGGGACCTTCAGGTCCCAAGTCGGCTTCCCTGCCCATACACCGTCTCGGCCCAGTTGTCAATGTCAATTTTATTTATGTAGCACATTTAAAAACATCAATGTTGACCAAACTGCTTCATAAAACGGTAAATCAGGAATAAAATAAATGAAAGATCAAACATTAAAAATGCAATTATAATAAAATAGGATAAGAATAATCTAAGCCAAGAAAATAACACACCAAAAAGGTTCTGATGGAAACTCAAACCAAACTTTAGTTAAATCCAGTGCAAAAAGTGAGTTTTTAGGTGGGATTTAAAGGACTGTACGGACTCTGTAGAACGAATATCAATGGGCAGATTGTTCCAGAGAATGGGGGCCCAATTTCCTCTGCATTTTAATTTAGCCCTCGGCTGCACTAAAAGCATCTGACTGGAGGATCTCAGTGCTCTGTTTGGGTTGTAAAAGTGCCAAAGATCCATGAAATAATTGGAGGCCAAGCCATTTACAAGTAAATGTTGTTTCTGATCTGACCTCTGGTTCTTCAGACAACTTTTACAGATGTTTTTCTGCCAACAGATTGACATTGCCTTTTTTAATGAAGTTATTAATTTAAATATTTATGTTTATGTTCCTCTGTGAATAAAATGGGGATATTTTGAAATTTGTAAGGGCAGCACGGTGGTGCAGTTGGTAGAGCTGTCGCCTCTCAACGAGCAGGTTGCCCTGGTTCAAATCCCGGTCCGGGGGACCTTTCTGGGTGGAGTTTGCATGTTCTATCCGTGCATGCTTGAGTTTTCTCTGGGTACTCTGGTTTCCTCCCACAGATCAAAAACATGCATGTTAGGATAATTGGTCATTCTAAAATTCACCCTAGGTGTGAGTGAGAGAGTGAATGGTTGTTTGTCTCGTTTGTCTCTGTGTCCTTGTGACGGACAGGAGACCTGTCCAGTGTGTCCCCCGCCTCTCAGTGATGGCTGGACATGGGCACCAGTGACCCTCTGATTCAAAAAGGAAGAAGCGGGTAAAGATGGATGGATGAAATTAGTAAACAATTGCATTCTTTTTTTATTTACTTTTTATATAACATCCTAACTTTTACAGCACTGGCTTATATTTTACTTTTCTACGCTCAGTTTTCATGTGTCTGTTGACTGGGATTAAAGATTATATTGAGCCTGAAAAGTGACTAAAGATAATCCGCTGATCCAGGCGAGTCAGTGAAGCCAACTAAACCTGTCCGTGAGTAAAGATACTGCTGAGCCACAGAAGAATTCAGTTTCAACATTTGTTTCATTGTTCATTTAACTGAAGTGAATTATTTTTATTTTTAGGCGACTTGTGTCTGGAAGTCCTGGATCAAATCCACAACAGGTCTCAGTGAACCACTTAAGAAGACTTCCTTAAGAGCCCTCTGAGAAGATCATCAGCTGTTCTTTAACCCTCAGAACCATCGGGCATGAGAAATCTTTGGACTCTGGTTTGAAATGAGGGAATTTACTGATTGAAGAACAAACATGATGGCCGTTTGGAGTCCCAGGCCTCATGACATCATTCTGATGAACTGAACCTTTGACTGAAAGCAACATGACCACCAACCTGAGCTCCAGGATCGACACCCCAACAAACATCTCCCTGAGCTCCAGCGGGGCTGTCTCAGACTCTCTGGAGTACAAAACGGTGTCTGTGTTCCTGGTCCTGCTGGTGTGTGGCGTCGGCATCGTGGGAAACATCATGGTGGTCCTGGTGGTCCTCACCACGCGCCACATGAGGACGCCCACCAACTGTTACCTGGTGAGCCTGGCCATCGCTGACCTGACGGTCCTGGTAGCTGCGGGGCTTCCCAACGTGTCCGACAGCCTGACGGGGACTTGGATTTATGGACACGCCGGCTGCTTGGGGATCACCTACCTGCAGTACCTTGGGATCAACGTGTCCTCGTGCTCCATCACTGCCTTCACCGTGGAGAGGTGAGCTGCTTGACATTTCATTTCATTTTGTGAGGCTTTGAGTTTGAGTCTGAAGGGCCGATCACTCACCGATGTAGCGAGATGGAGTGGATTCTCCCCAAACGGTGATGAATGTGGAGCTCTGAGGTCTAACGGAAGAGTTTCCTCTCCATCAGACCGAGCGGGTGTGAAGTGGCTGGTTTTATTCAGGCATTCAAAGAGAAACACTCAGAGATGACCGCTCACTGAAGGGTTCATGCTGGAACACATAACCCATCCAGACAGTCATCCAGCAACACACCCACCTTCAGTATCAACACGGAGGTTTTTATATCCTCCGTGTGAATTTATGACGACTAACAGCCAACCAACAGACTGAACACACGAGCAGAATGGTTCTCGATGCAGCTGCTGCACGAACCTCCAGCAGCACCTTAGTCTAATTTATAATAAACGCTGACGTGTTCACGTTTAAACTGTATGAAAAGTGTCACAGATATGTTAGAGTAGGACCAGTTTGTATTACTAATTGTTTATTACCAGTGTTGTTTTTAGACCTGGATGTTTGGGCCTGCGGCTTCATCGGCTCTTTGTTGGGTCCACTTTAGCTGTTTGTTTGTTATCCAGTCTTCCCACGGCCCGTTTAGACTCCACTATGGTCTACTTGGACTTTTGAGAACTGCTTGGATGTGGGCAGGATCCTCATAATGTCTTAGTGGTATCATTTCAACAAGGTGTTGGAGATCCAACAAAGTTCAGTCAGGTCGTCTGGACGGTTTCTTTTTTGTTGAGATATTTTGTCCTTCATCCAAAGGACGTCATCAGTCTGAGGAGCCACAACAAACTGAGTTCAACATGCAGCACACTCACAAAGTGGACCAACCAGTTTGCTGGTGATAAGATGGTTTCTGGGGCCCACCCTCTTCCCTGTCGACTCTTCTGAGGTAGCCATAGCCAAAGTGGTTCAAAACATCAAAGGAGAGGAGGGGAGAGGAGAGGAGAGGAGAGAGGAGAGGGTGGGCCCCAGAAACCATCTTATCACCAACAAACTGGTTGGTCCACTGTGAGCGTGATGCTTGTGGAACTCAGTTTGTTGCGGCTCCTCAGACTAATGAAGTCCTTTTGGATGAAGGGTGAAACGTCTCAACAAAAAAAATAAACCGTCCAGATGACCTGACTGAACTTTGTTGGATTTTCGACCTGAATTGTTGAGCATGAACTTTGAAGGTATTGCAGATGTTTCTCAGAGGTTCTGGTCCATATGGACATGTCAGCTGAACGTCCATGAGGAGAGTCTCCTGTTCCTCCACATCCCAAAGGTTCTGATGGACTGAGATCTGGTGACTGTGGAGACGGTTGGGAGTCCAGTGAATCCAGACCCCTCAGACCAGGAGATGTTTCTCTTGTTGTCCAGAGTCTGTGTAAACTGTAGCCTCAGTTTCCTGTTCGGACAGGAAGTGGCACCTGGTGTGGTCTTCTGCTGCTGGTGTCCATCTGCTTCAGGGCTGGCCGGGTTCACAGATGGTTCTGCAGAACTCTGTTGGATCCAGTGGTTACTGGAGCTGATGGTGTCTTCCTGTCATTGTTGGTGAATATCCCATCACTCAGATTAACAACAGCTCCATGTTTAATCCCTTTTCGTTCCTGTTCTGATGTCCGGTTTGGACTCAGCAGGTCGTCGTCACACCTAAAGGCACCGATGTGCTGCCCTCTGATTGGCTGTTTGTGTTAACGAGCGCTGGAGCTGATGCAGTTCTGGCTCCAGAGTTTAAATTCAGACGTGTGGAGTTGCTCCTCACGGCAGTTTTACTTCTGTTCAGTTGTTAGAACAAACTTCCTCTTCATCTGGTTGCACAAACTGGACCATGCCTGTACCGTGACGGTTCTGTACAAACACATGCACCATCACACAATACAATAAATACAACTTTAATTATAAAGCACTTTAAAAACAACGCCGTTGGCTGAAGTGCTGTACACTAACACATACAAGCAAAAACTATAAAATCAACTGAAACCGTAAAAGTAATGAAGTGTTAAAATCATAAAACAACAAACCATAAAAACAGTAAAACCAACACCTCAAGCTGAGTTTAAAGCCAAAGAGGGGGAAAAAAGTGTTTTCAGAGATTTAAAAACAGGAAGTGAGTCAGCTTGTCTGACCTGCAAAGGCAGCTCATTCCACAGTTCAGGGGCAGCGACTGAGAACCTCACGCCCAGGTTAGTTACCGTCTCAGTCCGATGATGTGTTAAAGGAGCCAGATCAGCATGGACTTTGGAACCATCACTGGGTTAAACAACAAGACCTCGGCCTTTTCCTCATTAAAATGTAAAACATTCTGCGACATCCATGCTCTGTCATAAACCGGTGTCATGAACTTGCCGGTTCGCTGTGACTAATGGTGATAATAACCTGTTTTAATCAGATCATCATATCTAAATGATGGGATTTATATGAAATCTGATTGAACTGCTAATAAACCTTCAATGATTTCTCAGCAGCTCCGAGGTTAGACAACCTTCGTCCTGTTTGGACAAATGTTGCATAAATAACCAGGTGAAGATTCAAAATATTGTATGAAAGGTGTAATCTGTAGAGGAAGATCAAACTCTGTTAAAAATGGGGCCAAAATTCAAAACTTGGTTTAAACCAATGGCCAGTTTCAGACACTCCTGATATCTTTTCTTGGTCGCAGGTTTCTCAGCAAGAGTTTGATCAGTTTCATTTCACATTCTCTGTTGCTCTTTTCACATCAAAATCAAACATTGTTGAAAAATTCAAACATTTCCGTTGGCATCAGAGTTGGCCAACTGTCATGAGAAGTCTATAATAACTAAAGTCTACTCGGTTTGTAATCTGAACTAGAAGTGATAAAAGTATTGCATTTAAAATATAACCTTGGGGGCCAGATAAGATGTTAAGGACCGTATTTGGCCCTAGGGCCTTGAATTTGACACATGCAGACCTTAAACCTGTTTGTTAATCTGATGGAGGTTTAAGCTCTTCAGCTCAGCTGTTTGAAACAGAAAGATCTCAGTCAGAACATCTCAGTGACGTCAGGTTCTTTAATAACCGTCTGGTTCTGTCCATGTTCTGGGACGTATGCATGAAGACGATCAAACCTGATTAAAGCATAAAGCAGCTTCACAGATCAGAGCCGTGTTGCAAGCTGAGCGGATGTCGTTCAGTTCTGCTCTCTCCTGAGAGGAGCTGCTTCTCCTCACATCCAGGAGATCAGAGCTGCTCCACGCTCACTCCTGCTGCTCTCACGGTTAAAAGGAGAACGGTTTGAAAGCTGCAGATGTTTTGTGTTTCTCCCTCACCTGCAGGTACATCGCTATCTGCCATCCCATGAAGGCTCAGACGGTGTGCACGGTGTCCCGGGCCAAACGGATCATCGCCGGGGTTTGGATCTTCACCTGCGTCTACTGCATGCTGTGGTTCTTCCTGGTGGACATCCAGGTTGGATTAAAAACTGCACCCGTTCAGCTGAAACATGTCGGACACGCGTGTTCTTCAGATTATTGCAGGTTCTTAACAACCAAAACGCTTTCAGATGTTAAAAAAAATTAAAGGACAACAACTCGGCTCAAATGAATCAAACCGGATTAAAAACCCAAACGGAACCAGGAGTTCATCCTGGAGCAAATTCAAGACAAACGGGAGGAAGTTTTCAGTTTAACAGTAATCGTTTGAAATTCCTGCACAAATCCCCCCCAGCAGTTTGAGCCTGCCTTCTGTAATCTAAACCAATAAACAGCCGAAGGTTTGATGTTTCAGCTGTAGACGTGTAAAGATCGAGAGGAAAACAAAGAGTTTTTATAAAAATGTTGGAAAAGGAACGGCTCGAAGATCAAAGTTCAACGTGTTGTTGTTCAGTCGGATCCTCCATGTTCAGCTGGGTTTGTGTTAAAAGAGTTTTGAGTTCTGAAAACAGCAGTTCCGTCCAACTTCCTGTGACCCGTTTCAACTCTGACGATGGTTCTGAACTCCGAGCTGCAGATCCAAACAGGACCAGGCTTTAACTGAACACTGGCGGGGATTTATAAACTGTTACTGGAAAATTTCTTCTGCGTCGTTCGATGTTCTGCTTCAGAGCTCAGTGCTCCTGACGGAGAAGCTGGCTGGTTGTGTTGTTTGTTTGTTGTTTGTTTTTGTTTGTGATGTTTGTGGTTGTAGTAAACAGAAAACAGTGCTGTACCTGGAGGAGTGACGTCCTGATGGTACTGAAGCTGCTTCAGCCTCTGAAACTCATTTCGTGGTTCTGAGTTGATCCGGCAGCTCCTGCTGTCGTGGCAGCAGATGAACTGGACCTGAGCGGCACCTCTCCAGTCGACGGTCATCAGGTCCAGTTCTGGACTCGGGCGTTTGTCTCCGAGTCGTTCATCCTAAAACAAGCCTGAACAGAAAGGACCGGCGTTGATGAGCTCGTCTGCAGCTTCCAGTCCGAGGGAAACGACTTTAATATTTCTTTAGGTCCAGCTCGTTTTTCTTCTCGCATCAGAGCAGGACAGATGAAGTTCGAGACGCAGACGGAATCATTCTCCTCCTGGACTGATTAATAAAACGGATTTAAACTCTTAACTGCGAGCAGACGAGAAAATGAAACGTCATGTTTTCCTTTTGAACAATAACTTCTACAGATTCATCAGCTTTTACTTCATGTTTGACTAATTTAAATGATCTGAGAAGAGTTGAGCAGCTCATGTAAAACTTCCGTCTGTACACGAGAACCATCCTTTGGGTTAAAATGTGTTTTTATTTACAATCAGAACAGCCTTTAGTCCCTGACAGAACGAATAAAGCCCAGTTGGTCCTGCAGGCTGTGCTTTGATTGATTCCAAAGAATATAGGCGTGTTTTCACCGTTATTAGAGTCACCAGCAGGCGAGTGGAACATTTACGATGTCCAGGAGCTAAATGGTTGAAATGTTCTTTAAATTGCAGGTTGTTTCAGAGCCGAGTCGTTTGCTTCAGATGTGAACCGTCTTGTGTGCAGGTGGGCCCGGACGGACACGTCCAGTGTGGGTACAAAGTGAAACGAGACCTCTACCTGCCCATCTACCTCATCGACTTTGCCATCTTCTACGTCACCCCGCTGCTCGTCGCCATCGTGCTGTACGCCCTGATCGCACGCGTCCTCTACCTCAGGTAACGCCCGGTACCAGACATTTACCTCCATATTGTTGGGAGGTGCTTGAGCTGTAGTGACAGCTGGGACAAATCACACCTTTAAATAAACTTGTGAAGAATCAGAATAAGCTTTATTATCATTGCACTGAAGTACAGTGAGATTATGTCTGTGCAGTCGTCTGAAAGATGGGCGGAGTGCACGGTGCTGCTGCTCCTAAGAGCGCGGCCCTTATTCTTTTAGATGGAAAAGGGTAAAGGCCATGAGGAAAGTATAGTGGTATTGCAAAAAAGATTTCTTCACGCCTTGACCTTGTCAGGACACGATTTAAGACATCAAAAAACTTTACCAGAAAGCACATTTATAGACAAGACGGTGAGATTTGTGCAGGAAGCATTTCCAGATAGCACCATAGTCCTGATGAGATGTTGGTGTCAGCCGGTACAGCTCTGATAAGCATTCACTGAAGTTCTTGGGGGGGGGGGGGGGGGGGGGGGGGTTGCACAGGGGATAGAGCAGAGCCTTCTTAGTTTATACATGTCCCAGGAGAAATTTGATGAGTTGGCCTTCAAGGCTGAACGGGGGAGTCCGATTCAGATAAGCCACAGTTGTTAATTTTTTCAGGCAGACAGTTATTTCTCATCAGCCTTGAGCTGTGCTGGTACTTTCGATATCCAAAATGGCCAGATTTGTGGGCATTCTACTAATTGACATGAGATTTCCCCCCCGTCCCCAGAAGAAAACCCCAACAAAACGTGTTTCCATCACTCTAACCCTCAGATCTCACACATTATAAAAATTATTATTATTATTATTTAGAGCTGCAAACTTAGAATTGTTTCAAATGTTTTGTATCCTCACAGTAACATTACTGCCCTGTAGAGCCCCCCCCCCCTATTATTAAAGCATTTTATGACCCCATCATGAATTTCTTTGAGTTTTGGGCCTTCATGATCACAAGTTCTTCCAGAATGTTTGATTTTTGTTTGATCAGATTGGACCTACTGTCTGTGTCCCTGCAGTCCCCTGCCCCCCCACGCTGATGCCAGCGCCACCACGCTGCGCAGGAGCTGCCGGGACTCCTCGGAGGCAGCGAGGACGGGTCGCCAGGCTCGTCCGAAGAGCGCGGTGTCCTCCAGGAAACAGGTCTGAGCCTCTCCTCACTTTCAGCTGGTCTTCATCAGCCCATGTTCCTGCTGTGTGTGTGTGTGTGTGTGTGTGTGTGTGGGGGGGGGGGGGGGGGGTCTCAGCTGACCCACCTGGTTACTGGTGTGTGATATTCCTGTTAAACCTGACCCTGACATGATGATGGTGATGATGGTGGTGGTTTTGAGTCCAGACAGTGGCGTTAATGGTTTCTGATGGAGAGAAAACGGCTGCAGCGTCCGAAAGAATCAGTTTTAAAGAAAACTCCAAACCTTTTTTCACATTTTTCCATCTCTTCTTCAAAAACCCAAACTTGTCACCTTCAGTCAGAGTCTCACACCAACCGGACCTGCAGAACTCCGGTTTCTGTGATCAGTCTGAAGCTGGTTCTGTTTGGCCCGTCTTCACAGAGGGAGTTCCTGAAACCAGAGCTGTGGGCCGTGAGCCCATTCCTGGACCCAAACTGTGCTTTGAGGCCTCACAGAACCCGTTCCTCCAGTCTGCTCTCAGCTCAGAAACCGCCTCGGTCAGAACCTCTGTCAGACAGAGTTAGACCCAGGAACAGAACCGAGCAGACCGGTTCTGACTCAGAACCTGAAAAGGTCAGGAATGACCCTAAAGGAACTGGCCTGCAGAACACGTCTCTAATCATCTGTGTGATTACTGCTGCTGGGTGTGGGCTAATGTTTGGCTACTGTTAGCTTTTAGCTACTATTCTGCTATTTTGCTTTGACAACTTGGTTTCAGCTTCTTGAACACTTACTGGTCACACAGAATATTTACAGAAATATTTTCCACAGTTTGATTTCTAATCATAAACTTAAAATGAAAAGTTTATGGAAAAAAGAAAAGGATCAGCATCCGTCAGACAGAAACACACGCACTGTGGGAATGGTGTGTGTGTGTGTGTGTGTGTGTGTGTGTGTGTGTGTGTGTGTGTGAAAGCTGCGACCGTCCTCTTCACCCTCCATCACAACCGTCTGGTTGCCATGGTAACGGCTCAGACATTTCTGAGCCCCTGCGAGGTAGTGGAGAGGGGGCGGAGTCAGCCTGTAAGACTCGGGTGATTAGTCTTATCAGCCACCCTACCCTCCCTTCTGTCTGTTTGTCCGTCCATCTGTCCATCTGAGCACATTTCTCCAGAGCAGCTGGAGCACGGCGGCTCGTGTTTTTTTTATTTTTAATCTCAGCAGAAAAATGGAGGCATTATGAGCCCAGCTTCTTTTAGCAAAATGTTCAGGTTGAGAGTTGAAGGCTTTGAAGAGGAGGAGGAGACTCCAGAGTGTTTGAGTAGTTTATGTTAATGAAACGGAACCTGTATGAATATATAGAATATGAATGAAGTCAGGCCAAGAGGGTCCATGGACCGCTGACTACAGTGGACTCTGTGCCGCGTCGTTGTGGTGATGAGGGAGCTGAGCTGTAAGGCAGAGCTCTCTGTTTACCTGTCAGTCTACATTTTTACCTTCACTTATGGTCACGAGCTCTGGGTAGTGACTGAAAGAATGAGATCACCGATACCGGAGGTTGAAACGAGTTTCCTCCGCAGGGCAGCTGGACTCTCCCTTAGAGATGAGGTGAGAAGTTCAGTTCTCCAGGAGTAACTCGGTAGAACCACTGCTCCTCCACATTGAGAGGAGCTAGTTGAGGTGGTTCGGGCATCTGGTGAGGATGCTTCCTGGGCGCCTCCCTAGGGAGGTGCTTCGGGCATGCCCAACTGGGAGGAGACTCCAGGGAAGAGCCAGGACACGCTGAAGAGACTGTCTCTCCGTTGGCCTGGGAACATCTTGACGTTCTCCCAGAAGAGCTGGAAGAAGTGGCTGTGGAAGGAGATGTCTGGACCTCCCTGCTCAAACTGCTGCCCCCAAAACCTGACTTTAGAACAAGCAGAAGATGATGGATGGACAGATGGATGGATGGATGGATGGATGGATGTTCTGACTGACCGATGGACTGAATTGTGTCTCAGCTGAGTCCTGGTAACAAACTCTTGGCTTGATGTTTTTTTAAATTTTTTATAAGCAGCAGGTTCTCCTTAGATGTTGTCCTCTCTCTGAGCTCCACTTCAGACGGTCTGGGTCTAGTTGTTGGCAGTGTCGGTTCTGACTGACCCGGTTTATCAGAATCTCATGCATGCTCAGCTCTCGCTTCCGTTTTAAACTTGATGAACGCACGCTGCTCATCTGCTGGACGTTCAGCTGTTTCTGTAGCTGGAATGAGGGAAGCTGAGCTCAGAACCTCATCTGAAGTGACCTACTCACTGACCCGGTGATCTACTGCAGACCCCCCCCCCCCCACACCCACACCCACATCACCTGCTCGTTATATTTCACTCCTGCCATTGAACTAATTATCTTCACCTTTTCACAAGATTTAATTTTCCTTTTTCTTTATTCATGACTCCTCTCCTTTGCCTTTTATTTTTTTAAATTACCTAATTAGCCAATAAGGCTTCATTACCCCCCACCCACACACACACACACACACACACACGCGCACACACGCACACGCAGCTCAGTGTTAATGGATGTCGGACGGCTCCACGCAGGCAGGACCTCTGTCTGCTCGTGCTTCACCCTGACTGCTGATCATTTCCGTAATCATGAAGCAATCAGGTCTAATCAGAAATTCTAAGCGGACTGGACCGGGCCTCGGGGCTTCTTCTGCATTTCTCCATACTTTGTCGATGCTGTAGACGGTTCGGTCAAATGCTTCCAGGGTCTGTGAGTGGAACGTGTTTGTTTTCATGTGAGAATCCGAATCGAGATTTTACTCCTGAATCCTGATGATTGTTGTGAAACTGTTGCCAGGCAACCAGCTCCACAATCGACACATTTATCATCTAAAGACAGGCGGTCCTCACCTTTTGACCCTGGACCTGGGTTCTGTTCTTTGGTCCCAATAAAACATCAGCTGTTGGCCAGATTGAAATATTCACAAAAAAACAACAAAATGTTTTGACCATAAACCATGTTTGGCCAAATAAAACTCACAGGTTTTATTTCCCGACCTCGTCTGTTTTTCCTGCAGGTGACAAAGATGCTTGCTGTGGTCGTGATCCTCTTCGCTCTGCTCTGGATGCCCTACCGGACTTTGGTTCTGATCAACTCGTTTGTGTCCGCGCCCTACCTGGACTCCTGGTTCCTCCTGTTTTGTCGGACGTGCATCTACGCCAACAGCGCGATCAACCCTGTGATCTACAACGCCATGTCGCAGAAGTTTCGCTCAGCGTTTCGGGGGCTCTACAGCTGCCAGCGGCTGGAGGGGAACCAGCGGACGCCATCGATGCTCCTGTCCGGCGTCGGTACCATCCGAGACCAGCGGCCCGTTCAGCAACAGGACGCTGGAGCCGACACGGAGAGGAGAGCCACTCTGAGGACTTCCAGTGATCTGAGGAAGCTTAACGGAAGCAAAGATCAGGAAACGGCCACGGTTAACGGCATCCGCCAGTCCGACCATCACACTGACACCGGTTTTGCTGTCGGCTTCGAACAAGGTCCAGAAGAACCTTTGGCAGCTGGGGACGACGACGAACACAGGAGAGAAGCTGCTGACGGAGGAAACAAGCTGCAGGAAATGACGTGAACAGTTCCACCTTACCATGTTCACCCACAAACACTGAACACTTGTATTTATTTATTTATCTATTTATTTATTTATTTATCTGTGAATTTCTTATTTTAAAGGTACAGATTCCACTCAGGTTAAATGGGACGAATACATGAATTAATCCTTTTGGATTTAAAATGTTTCAGAGCATTTTTTCATTTCCTGTCTGATCTCCTGATCCGTGAGGAGGGTTCCCAGCAGGTTATTTATCTGCTGCAAACATGTTTTTAAATCAAATATTACAGTGAAATATTAACACGAACACGTTGGCTCGATGTGTAAAATGAAGGTAACGGAACGCAATTCTTCCTTCAATCATAATCCGTGTTCATATTTTAGTGTCCCAACCTTTTGAGAACTGGGTTGTAGTTTTTTTTTTTTTAGATTTTCAGCACAAAGATGGCAGAGAATTAAAAAACTGGACATTTGTCCGCGGCTCGTTGCACAAAACGTTATTTATTTTTCCTAAATGTTCAGAGTCGAGCTCTGGGATTAAATCCGGCTCGTCTGCACTTGGTTTATATGAACAACAGAAACCGTCTGCATGCTGCGTGAAGGACACGAGCTTGTTGCCGAAACGACTTCATGTCATCTTGATTTTTGATTTTTCTATTTTCTGTGTGTTTGTTTCAAATTTATCATCGACGTTTCATCATCGTGTATAAACATTTGGTAACACTTTACAATAAGGTACACAAAATTTGATTAACTATTAGAGAATGGCTCAGGAACAAATCAGAAGCTAATGGGTAGTTGACCAATACTTACTGGGGAACACGCAGCCAAGCCTTTATTAGGGGACTACTGGTTTGTTACCGCAGAAACGGAGGAGAAATTCTCCATGTGGGTTCTGAATAAACCCTGCACCAGTGAGGTCGCAGCTCGTACTTGTCAAAACCCTGTTTCCTAGTGATTACTGATTTTATTGGATTTTCTTTTTTTGTAAACCTGTTGATGAAAGACATTATCAGTTTCATAATCTTGTACTGGTGTCACCTTAACTATGTCTATCACTGAGTACCAAATCATTGCCTGGATATTATTTTGTTAACTGATGTAGTGAAGCATCATACCAAGTACTTGCAGAGGAACCAATCATTACTTAATCACTACCTGACCATTACCTAATGGTATGTTCCTGTGGTAACAAACCAGTAGTCCCCTAACGAGGCTTGGCTGTGTGTTCCTCAGTAAGTACTGGTTAACTACTCATTAGCTCCTGATTCGTTCCTCTTTGCCTTCCTTGG